CACTGTTTTCCATAGTGTGTGGGAACTTATTTATGATATAAGTAGCACTTCAAGGCAGTGTTTGAATAATTATTGAAAAAATTGTTGAGACTATTGAAAAAGTGTTGAGACTATTGGGTATCCATCCAGGAAAAAATACAGATGGTTCAATATTGTAAACACTTTTAAAAAAGAAAAAGAAGAGGAAGAAGAAAGAAAGAAATTTTTTAAAAGTGTTTTGGGTTTGGTTTTTTTTTTTAAAAAAAGCTTAGATGGGTAAGCCTTTCTAAGCAAGACACAAAACCAAAAAGTTATAAAATAAAAAGTCTGATCACTATGAATAAATTAAAATTCTGGTAGAAAAAATCAACAACAACAACAACAAAATTAAACCACATAATAACGAAAAAGAAATGTTTTTTCCACATAAATGATAAAGGCTAATTTCTTTAATATGTAAAGAATTTTGAAAAACTAATATGGCCATTAAACAAGAAATTCAATCTTACTTTTAACTGAAGGAAAAAATGAAACATGAGATGGCATTGAAAAAATTTTTACTAGCAGACAATTTTTTAGGTTTACAGAAAAGATATTGTGCAGAAAGTACAGAGTTCCCATATGCCCCTTCTTGTCTTATTGCATTAGCTAGGATTTCTAGTATGATGTTGAATAGGAGTGGTGAGAAGAGGATATCCTTACCTTGCTCCCAATCTTAGGGTGAAAGCATTTAGTTTTTCACTGTTAAGTATGATATTAACTGTAGGTTCATTGTAGATGTTTTTATTAAATTGAGGAAGTTACTCTTTATTCCTGGTTTGCTGAGAATTTTTATTGTGAATGGATGTTGGGTTTTGTCAAATGCTTTTTTTTTTTTTTGGCACCTGCTGATGTGATCATGTAATTTTTCTTTTTTAGCTGCTGTTCATATGATGGATTACCTTAACTGATTTTCAAATGTTGAACCAGCCTTACATACTTGGAATAAATCCTTCTTAGTCATGGTGTATAATTTATTTTGGTACATTGTTGGATTCTGTTGGCGAGCATTTTGAGTATTTTTGCATCTGTATTCATGAGACATATTGGTCTGCAGTTTTCCTTTCTTGAAATGTCTTTCACTGGTTTTAGTATTAGGGTGATGCTGACTTCCTAGAACAAGTTTGGAAGTATTCCCCCTGCTTCTATTTTCTGGAGGAGAATTGTAGAGGATTGGTATCGTTTCTTCCTTAAATGTCTGGTAGAATTCACCAGTGAAACCATCTAGGCCTGGTGCTTTCTACTTTGGAAGCTTACGAATGACTGATTCAATTACTTTAAAAGAAATAGGCACATTATCTATTTCTCCTTGTGGGAGTTTTGGGAGATTGTGTCTTTCAAGAAATTGGTCCATTTCACCGAAGTTATCAAATTTAGGGGAATAGAGTCATTCATAGTATTCCTTTATTATCTTTTTAAAGTCCATGGCACCAGTCATGATGACCCCTATTTCATTTCTGATATTAGCAATTTGTGTCTTCTTTTTTTCTTGATTGGCCTGACTAGAGATTTACCCATTTTTTTCATCTTTTCAAAGAACCAACTTTTGATTTCCTTGACTTTCTCTGTTAATTTCCTGTCTTCTGTTTCATTGATTTCTGCTCTGATTTTTATTATTTCTTTTCTTTTGCTTATTTCAGATTTGATTTGCTTGTTTTATGCTTATGTTCCCTAAGGTGGAAGCTTAGATGAGTGATTTTAGCTCTTTCTGTTCTAATGTATCTATTCAATGTTATAAATTTATCTCTAAGCACTATTTTCACTGCATCCCACACATTTCTATAAATTGTATTTTCCTTTCCATTTAGTTCAAAAATTAAACATGATATGCCACGTTTCATCTATCAGATTGGCCAAAATGTTAAAGTTTGACAGTATTGAGTGTGGGTTAAGGTCTGGGGGTGTATAAGGTGCGCTTGTACTTTGGTATTGGAAGTATAGACTAGTTCAACCATTTTACATGACGATGTGTATGTATCTATACAAATTTGAAAGGGATATACATTTTGATTGAGCAATTCTACTCTCAGAAGGCTAAGAGCAGAATGTATGTGTGTATAGGGTACAGAGTTTGCAGTAGTTAAAAAGCCAGAAACAAAAATACATGTCCAATAAGAGGACTGCTTCAATATATTATATCTATTCGAGGAAATACTATTGAAAGAATTCACACTAATGCTAAAAGGATGATCAAGGTACACTGTTACCTGAACACATAGGCTATAGGAATAGTATGTTTAATGTGGTAGCATTTGTGTTTTGTTTAAAAAAAAAAAGGAAGAACTTATTCTGTCTATAACAGGCTTGGATTTGCATGGACACATCTGAAAAGTCGTAACTGTGGTTACTTCTGGGACAGAGGTGCTTGGGGGCCAAGGAAGGCACTTTTTGCTTTTCCCTTTACACCTTCTTTACCGTTTGAACTTTTAACCCTCAATAAGTATGACATTTAATTTGAGAAACAGTTTTAAACCCAGCTTGCAGATTTGGGCCCCCAAGTTGCTTCAGGCGTGTTAAGCATTTCCTTTGCTCTCTCTTCCTTATAAACTATGAGAAAGGCTGCTCATGCCTGGCCTCTGTATACCCTGGTCCTTTCTCTCATTTTTTATCTAAGGATTTCAAGAGGAGAAAGAAACAAAAGAGAGAGAGAGAAAGAAAGAAAGAGAAAGAAAGAAGGAAAGGAAGGAAGGAAGGAGGGAGGGAAGGAAGGAAGGAAGGAAGAAAGAAAGAAAGAAAGAAAGAAAGAAAGAAAGAAAGAAAGAAA